AACCTCCAAATCCCACCTCTGGCTGGCCATGCCCACCCCTCCCTTCCCCGGAGTCTTCACGCAGCTCATTTTGGATGCAAAGTAAGTGTAGGGTCCGTGCCGAGGCTCAGGAAGGGGGAAAACAGGCCTCCCGGAAGGGCCTCCCAGAAGGGCCTCTGAAGGGCTTAGAGTCCTGGGGGAGGCAGTTTTTGCCCTCCCAGAGGCTTGAGAAAAGCCTATGGAGCCTGGGGAGGGCAAGCACACACACACCAACCATGGTGCAGGAGACTGCCTAGGCCACACCCACCATGGCCACGCCCACCCAGCAACTGGGCAGAGAATCCATTGCTGAAATTTTTGAAGCCCACCCCTGCATAGAAGCCCAGGACACTTCATCCAATCACTAGGGTGGCATATGTATTCAGAGGTATGTTACAAGATGAAGTATTTATCATGCAGTTGAAATATTTGCAGTGCCCTCTTTACTACGGGGCCTTTCTGTTTGCAACCCTCCTCAGTTTCCCCTCTGCTATTTCTGCCTTTTTCCTTCCTACAAATGAAGGCAAATATACGTGTCCCAGGATAATGTTGCAGCATACAATCGGGGTCAGTCACCGGGACCAGAGGTTTTGTATTTTGAGCTTTCGTACTTGTGCTGGAGCCCATCTTTGGGCTCTGCTAAGATCTGCTAAGCAGCAAAAGGAGCCATAACTAACTAACTAACTGTGTGATAGATAGAGGAAGCAGGCAGGAGCACGCCAAGAAGGCAAATTTAGTCTGGAAGCTCTGAATGTGACGGCTCCTTTGATGTGACAAGATTGAGAACCCTAGGTGGGAAATGTAAGCTCATAACTTATTAATTACCTATTCTGTGAATGAGAATTGATCGTCTCCGATTGTATCTTTTTGCTTTTCACAGTGCTGGATGAAGACTTGGCAGCCTTCAATTTGCAAAGTCTAGCCACCCTTGCTGCTGCCTGGGCCCTTGTGGAAGCCACTGGCTTCGAGAGCAGCCCACCTGACCTCCTCAGCCTGGCAGATGCCGCACCGTGTGTGAATCTGCGCCCTCGCATGCGAGTCTCACGACGGAAATACATCTGGACCCCTAAAGCCAAGCCTGTAAGTTTCTTGTGCTCAAAATGAATGACAGAGCTGATGGATTGAAAGATTACCTGCTAGCATTCCATTTTTGTAGCCTGACATAGTTTTGGGGTGTGTTTCTGGGCCACATGGTCTGTGCTGCCACAGATGACAAAACTATCTACCTATCATTTGAAGAAGAATCTCAACTTTCCCAGGTAATAATGGAGAATTCTGTGGTAAATTGTTTGTGTTTGAGGACTAATCTTTTGTCCCTTAAGACTCATTTTTGGGAGGGGTAGCATGAGTGAAACTTTCATTATGATGTCACAGTGCAGATCCCTCCCCTTTTATGCATGCATTATAGTCACCTGCGAGAGGTGGAGCTTGTGTGACACTGCAATGCATGTTTAATCATTCTAACAAAAATGTGGCTTGCTCTGGATGCCTCTACATCAGATAACAGAATCGGGCAAGACTGCTGTACAGGTAGTCTTCAATTTACAACAGTTCGTTTAGTGACTGTTCAAAGTTACAAGGGCACTGAGTGAACTGACTTATGACCATTTTTCAAACTTACGGCCATTGCAGCATCCCTGTGGTTACCTGATCAAAATTCAGATGCTTGGCAAACTGGCATGTACTTATGATGGTTTCAGTGCCCCGTGGATGTTATGTGATCACTTTTTGCGACCTTCTAATAAGCAGAGTCAGTGGGGAAGCCAGATTCACTTAACAACCATGTTACTAATTTAACAACTGCAGTGATTTAACAACTGTGGCAAGCAAGGTAAAAAAAGGGTGGGGAACTCACTTAACAAATATCTCAAATAACAGTAGAAATTTTGGGCTCAACTGTGGTCGTAAGTCAAGGACTACATGTATTCCACAAGCAAAACTGTGTAGAAGATTTTGAAACATTGGAGTGCATTTTATATTCCCGTTTTTGTTTATTTGTTTGTTTGATTAGGGGACAATTATTAAGGCTTGCCTTAATCAACTTCGCAGGATAGCTTTTGCTGTATCAGCCTCTCCAATTTTAATAATCATATTTAGAGGGAAGGTTGGCTGAGTAGACTGTACGGAGGCTAAAATATTAGGCTTCTGGTTCTGATTCTGATACAGAATCATATAGTCCTTGAGTTACGATAATAATTGAGCTCTGAATTATGGTCATAAATTGTTGCCGTTGTAACTTGAGGCATCATGTGAATGGACCTGACTTTTTGATATTTTTTGCAGTGGTCGTTATGCAAGCACTGCAATTGTTAAGTAAACGTTGCAGTTATTAACCAAATCAGTTTCCCCTGATGGGAAGTTTTTTTTTTCCAGAAACCAGAAGCATACACTAGAAATAGTTTAAAAATGTCGCAAAAAAAATGGTGCAGACCAGTGTTGGGTTCTCGGCGGTATAGCCCAATACAGGCGTACCGGTGGCAGCTGGGAGCAGCGGTTATTGTACCGGAACGGTATTTCGGTGGGCCCGCCCGCCCGCGTTCTTTACCTCTTTTTGAGGGAAACAGGCCAATTGCGCACACACGAAATAGCGTACGGCACCTGCACAACCTCACTGAGCAGCTGGGGACTCTCAGGGGGATCGCGTGGATGTCCGGCCCCATCGCAGCAGACCGGTTGTGACGGGATCTGGAACCGACGACTGGTGCAGACTGTCATAAAACTAAGTCAATTGCCAAATGCCCAAAACGTGATTGTGGGTGGTGGAGTGATTGTCTCATCCTAACTTTGAAAACAGGTCATAAGTAGCTTTTGATGGCCCATCATAAAGCGACCAGGTTATAAATCGAAGACCCCCTGCAGTCTGAGAATTGAATACAGTTCAGCAGTATTGTGTGGACTTAAGGTGCTTCATCTGTTTGAGTTCCTAAATGGCGAGAATGTCCATTAAGAGAATGGGAAATCTCTAAAAAATCTCTATATGTTCAGTGTGTGCAGCAAGGAGTTAAATCATTATCAAAGTTAATCAACTATAGGAAGAAAAAGTGGAAGAAGACATTTCAATCGGAAGCATTCTTCTTGATACAATTTTGGCTTGAATTACAGAAATCCCCTCAAATTAATTTGTCTTAATTACATTTCTAAGCAGTTGAAGATGTTGGGTGGCCAAAATGGCTCCCACTTGAACATGAGTGGAAGATCCCAAGAATAGTCCCTTAAAGGTCATCCTGCAAGTACATAAGTAGAACCAAATGGCCTTCTAAATCTGTTCAGTTCAAGAGTGCAAATAATTCTCAGGGCATATAAACTACCAGGAGTAAAAGCATGAATCAAACGTGTTATGTCCCCTGTCCCTCTTGCTTTCCTCTGTGGCTAATATAGCCTTTTCTCTCTCCCCAAAGGTTTGCCCTCTGAAAGCAGCTATTGAGAATTTGGACACACAGGAAGTGGAGATGCGCATGCGCCTAGCAGAACTGCAGCGACGCTACAAGGAGAAACAGCGGGAATTGGCCAAACTGCAGAGGCGGCATGACCATGAGTGAGTTTCTTGGTTTCTTCAGTTTTCACTACAGGTTTCTAGGGATAAGCACCTGACCCACTCGCCAGGTGGGTAAAGCAAAACAGCACCAGGAATAATGCCAGTGGTAAGGGGGTGAAATAGCTTTGAATCTACCGGTTGATCTGTTTACCGTAACATCTGAAGGCCAAATGATCCCCTTAGTCAAAGGCCTTCCCTGTCCTCTAAACTACCATGTTTCCCCCAAAATAAGACAGGATCTTATTTTCTTTTGACCCCGAAATAAGCACTTGGCCTTATTTTAGGGGGAGGTCTTATTATTTTTGAGATGCAGGAGGCAGCGAGCCGGGTCACCTCATGGCTGCTGCTGCTGCAATATTTTCAGGGAGGGCTTATTTTCTGGGGAGGGCTTAGTTTAGCGCTTGCGTTCAAAAGCCTGATTGTGCTTATTATCC